GGGGCTACTTGTTTGTTCCAGACAGTTTGGCTCCTTCTGAGCTAATTGTCCTTGCCTAGAAGCAAGGGAGGGAGCCAGTCTCCTGATACCTTGCCTAGGAGGGAACTAGGGAGTTTACATTAGCCTTTTCATTTCCAAATGAAGTTACCTTAACCTCTTCATTCCCAAATGGAGTTACATTAACCTTTTCTGCAGCCGTATATTCCCTTCCCATTCTCCTGCTGTCCCCTAGCTTGTCATGCATTCTTTCCAAAAATGAGGACTTTTTTAAAACGCTGTGGGAGGCGGGACAAATTGTTAAGTAGAGGGACGTCTGGTCACCTTAACTTACAGCTCTTCTTTCCGCAGAGACAGGAGGGGGACCTCAGCAGAGAAGGACAGGCTGGAGAGGAGGGCACCCATTGTTCAGTAGTTCTAGGGAGGTGTTTTGACACAACGTTTTCCCAGCCAAGTTTCTAGTATGTGTTGGGGGAAATCAGTGTGCGTTTGGGGATGGAGATAAATCCTGCCTCCTCGTCCATGCCCACCCCCCACCATGTTACTAACCCTGGTTAGTAAGTAAGGCTGCAGGTGTAGGACCCAATTGAGCTCGCAAGCCCCAGTGCTCCTCCCCTTCCCCTGCCGGGAGAAGAGGGCCTAGCTAGCCAAGGAACCCCCTTTAACTGCTTTTTGACATTGAAACTGAGGTTAAATAACTTCACGAGTTCATATCTCAAAACCTCCACTGAGTTTTTTATTTAACTTGATGACTGTCAGATTTTATGTAAAATAGGGATGATAGTATTATATACCTCAAAAGACTGTCATAAGATTAAATGAGCTTGTACATATAACACATTTGAGATAGTCCCTGTCACATACTAAGTGTTCAGTAAGTGTTCGTTATCACCATTATTGTAATAATCCTTTGAGAAGGCAATGGAATTAGAGTAAAAAAGCCAAAATTAATTTTTATACTTGATCTTCTTTTTGTTTAAAGAAACTTGGCTTGAGGCTTGGTGCCTGTGGGTCAAGGGCTAGGGCACAAGCCACATATACCAGAGCTGGTGGGTTTGAATCCAGCCCGGGCCCGCCAAACAACAATGACAACTACAACCAAAAAATAGCCTGGGCATTGTGGTGGGTGGCTGAGACAAGAGAATCTTTAAGCCCAAGAGTTTGAGGTTGCTGTAAACTGTGAAGCCATGGCCTTCTACCAAGGGCGACATAGTGAAACTCTGTCTCAAAAAAAAGAAACTTGGCTTGAAGGTGTTAAGGGACTTCTGAAAACTGTAGAAGAACCTGGGTCTCATGTGATTTTGGGTCTAGTTATCTGCAAGCTGTATGGAGTCTTTCTTTCTCTGGGGAAAATGCATTCTCCAAGGAATTAAGTCTCATAGACTGCACAACTCCTGGCCAGTTGCATAGGGGGCATAGTTTCTGTTGTTTTCTGGTGTCTGCTTGAGCAAATAACTTGGATGTCGGAGTCAGGCAGATACAGCTTAGTGACTGGGTTGTACTATATACAGACTTCCCTTCCTATAGCTTTCATGTCTAAAATAGTAACAATGTCCTCTACATTCTTTGAAGATTGGAGATTAAAAGAGAATATTAATATCTGTAACACACTTAGTACTTCTCTGTTTTTAGTAAATGGGCGACTGAGCGGGGGCTGGCAAGAGATACTGTGCTCAGCCTAAAAGCCCAGAGCACAGGGAAATCCGCATATTCTGCATGGCTCCCAGTGAATGCCTAGACTTTTGAGGGGTGGGAGTGGAGGTGAGAGAGGACAGAGGAAGCTAAAAGGAATGCTGTGATTATTAGTGGTATTTGGTCTCTCACTATTCCTTTTTCTGCAGCTCTGCCCTCTCAGAGCATATCTTTTCTCTAAATGAAGAGCCAGGAAGAGGTAGAGGTGACAGGAATTGAACTTCTTAAAGCCATGCTCCCGGTGAGTTAGTATTCCTTCACTTCCTACTAACATAGTCTTGCTTTTCAAGATTTGATAATGTATGTTTTCTTCTGAAAATTTTCTGCATAAGAGTCCTTCCTGGGGCCTGGTTCTGGTTTCCTCCCTTTCTGGTGAGTGAGGGAGACACAAGCAGCCCAGGATACTTCCTCTTCTCCCCACTCAGTGTGTATCTCTCATTCAAGAAATGGTCCAGTCTGAGCCCTGAGAACCACACTGTGACGTGAACACTGAGCAGGACTATATTTGTGTTGTTGTAGGATTCACTGACTTTCACAGATGTGGCCATAGACTTCTCCCAAGATGAATGGGAATGGCTCAGTCTTGCTCAGAGAAGTTTGTATAGGAAGGTGATGTTGGAAAACTATATGAATCTGGTTTCAGTGGGTAAGAGTGTCTTCTTCCTTCTACCTTCCCATGAGTCCTTTATGACTTTTATCAGCATTTTTCTAAAAACTTGTCTTCACTCAAGACCATTTGAACTGGGTTGTAACTCTGGTTTACACGCAGCTTAGCCAATTTTTATACCTTTTTTTATATGCAGGTCTTTGCATTTCTAAGCCGGATGTGATCTCTTTATTGGAACAAGAAAAAGAGCCCTGGATGGTGACAGAACAGATAACCAGAGGCCTGTGTGCAGGTGAATACAGAGTACAGAGAGGTGGAGGAGCTCTTTTTTGATGTTCTTTTCTCTGGTATTTGTTGTAAAGTACTTTTCAGGCTCCCTCCCAAATTGAAACTTGTTCTAACGTGAGTTTTTTAATGTTTCCCTGCTTTTGCACTGGTATAACATAGCCTCCCTTGCTTTAACTGATTTCTTATATGCTGTATATACCAGGGTCTATTTCTAAACTCTTGTGTCACTGGTGTTTACCTGTTTCTGCTCAAGCACCATACTGTGGCAGTTATCCCTGACTTTAAGCATTTCGGATTCTTTTTTTTTTTTTTGAGACAGAGCCTCAAGCTGTCCCCCTGGGTAGAGTGCTGTGGCATCACAGCTCACAGCAACCTCCAACTCCTGGGCTCAAGCGATTCTCCTGCCTCAGCCTCCCAAGTAGCTGGGACCACAGGTGCCCGGCACTTTTTTTTTTTTTTTTGGTTGCAGCCATCATTGTTGTTTGCCTGCCACCTTAGGTGTATGTGGCTAGAACCTTAGCCACTTGAGCCATAGGCGCTGAGCCAGCATTTCAGATTCTTTACAGAAACTTGTGTTTAGTTTTTGAACAGGTTTAAATATTTTCCTTTCTTTAAAAGGGGTGTAATTGTATTTATATATGTATATATTCATATATGTGTATATACACACACACACATACACACACACATGTATATGTATATCTTTCTGTGTTTCATTGGTTCGGTTTGGTTTGTGGAGACAGGGTCTCATTCTGTTGTCCCAGGGTGGAGAGGAGTGGTGTAGTCATAGCTCACTGTTAACTTCAAACTCCTGGGTTCAAGGGACCCTCTAATCTCAGCCTTGTGAGTAGCTAAGATTACCGGGGTGCACCACCACCCTGACTAATTTTTAAATTTTTTGTAGAAACCGGATCTATGTTGCCCAGGCTAGTCGTAAACTCCTGGCCACAAATAATCCTCCCACCTCAGCCTCCTAAAATACTGGGATTAAAGGTGTGAGCTATTGTTCCCATCCTGTTGTTTATTCTTACTTTGTTGTTTATTTTGCCTGTTTCCCTCTCTTTCCCCTTTACACCACCCCATCCCTTGAATTGGAAAGATTTCTAGTTCTATATATTGTTACCTGTATTTATGTATTTGCACATCTGCATTTCAAAATCCATCCACCTGAAATTCAGAACTTTATCTTTTGATAGCCATATGAAAGCTAAAGAAATTAGTTCATGAATATTACCTTCTTCCTATATGTCCATCATTTGTCCACTTACATTATACTCATTGGGATCTTTGGTTCAGTTTATGTTTTTTCAAAATTTATGTTTTCTTATTTCCCTATCTTGCTTCAAAGGTATTTTTCTGGTTTAGAAAGGTAGACAAGAGACTGTAGATATATATGTGAGGAAATGAGCCTCAAATGAGATGGTCACAGTTTATTTTGTGGCTTGTAGGGCTTTTTCCTGCTTTTAGTTCTTATAGTTACAAGCAAAGAATTGTTGGTAGGTCACTTGTAGCCCTAACTGTATTAATAAGTAAGAAATATTAAAATAAATGAATTTCCAATTCAAGATATTAGAAAAAAATGAATTTAAGTAAAACCAAAATAAGTTATGATAGTGATTTTATACTTCTAGAAATAAAAATACAAATAAATTAGAAAACAGTAGATTAACTGAAAATAAATCAAGTACTGTTTGTACTTTTTTACAAAACCAATTAAATACGTAAATTGTCAGGACAAATGACAGAAAACACACAGATAATGATAAGTAACCACAGATGCATAAGAACTTAAAAGAACCATATGAATCTATTTTTCCTCAACCCTCTGTAAATAATTTTAAAAAGTGGATGAAGTAGATGATATTCTAAGAGAATATGAAAATATAAATTACCATAACTGACAAGAGAGGAGACAGTTTTTTTAATATTTTTAATTTTTGAGACAGAGTCTCACTTGGTCACTGTCAGTAGAGTGCTATGGAGTTTTTAGCTCATAGTAGCCTGAAACTCATGGGCTCAAGAGATCCTCCTGCTTCAGTCTCCCAAGTAGCTGGGACTATAGGCACCTACTACAACACCCAGCTATTTTTTAGAGATGGGGTCTCACTCTAGCTCAGGCTGGTTTCAAACTCGTGAGCTCAGGCAGTCCACCCACCTCAGCCTTCCAGAGTGCTAGGATTACAGGTGTGAGCCACTGCGCCTGGCCTGACAATTTTTTTCAAATTTCAGAACATTTAATTTCAAATGTTTAGTGTATATGGATTACTTTTGTACTGCTTGAGACAAAGTTGTATTTCCATCACCCAGACGATGTGCATTGTACCTGCTAGGTATGATTTCAGTCTTCTCCTCAGAAAATTTAAATAGACCAGTTATCATAAAAGAAATATAAAAAGTTGTGTATTAATGGCCTTCCCCAAGAAAAAAAGCCACATACCCAAATAGATTTACAAATCAATTCTCTATAAAACCTGTGAGGAAGAATTATCACTGTTTTTTCTTAAATTATTCCAAGATAGACAATAAAAAGGAGAACTTAAATTTTTTTGTTTATGAACACAGCATAACATTTGATAATAAAATCTACCAAAATAGTATCAAATAAGAAAATTACAGACAAATCCCAATTATGAATATTGATATAAAATCTTAAAAGGTCATATTGAAATAATGTATTATAACCAGTAAAGGTTTATTCTAGGAATGCAAGGATGATTGTATCACCTATTGTTAATCTAAAAACTGATAAAAACTTGTTAAGCCAGGCACAGTGGTATGCCTGGGTAGACCCAGCTACTTGGAATGCTGAGCTGGGAGGATCACTTGAGCCCAGGAGTTTAAGCCCAACCTGGATAAAATAGCAAGACCCTGTCTCAAAAAAACAAAACAAAAACATGTACCTCTTAGAGCCCTCAGTAACTGATTCACATGGTTTTCATTTTTGAGGTTTCCATTCTTCTAGCATTTAATAAAGAAGACATTGGTTTCTTAATATCTTTCAGACTTGGAGTACATGTGGATGACCAAGGAATTATCTCCAAACCAGAATGTTTATAAAGAAAAATTTCCCCAGGCAATAATAATGGAAAGACATACAAGCTATGTCTTTGAATGTTCCACTTTAGGGAAAAACTGGAAATGTCAAGACCTGCTTGACAGGGAGCCAGTAAGACAGAGGACCCACTTTAGGCAAGAGACAATTACTTGTATAGATAACATCACTGAGAAAAGAGACCACTCTCACAAATCTGGGACAGTTTTTCATCTGAATACATTATCTCATATAAAACAGGTTTTTCCCATGGAAAAGAGAATATGCAATCATGATTCAGATAATAAAAGCTTAAAACCACATTCAATTGTAAAAAAACAGAAGCAAGTCTGTGGAGAAAAGAAACTTTTAAAATGTAATGACTGTAAAAAAATGTTCAACAAAATCTCAACCCTTACTCTTCATCAAAGAATTCATACTGGAGAGAAACCCTATGAATGTACTGAATGTGGAAAGGCCTTTAGCCAGAGTGCCCACCTTGCTCAACATCAGAGAATACACACAGGGGAAAAACCCTTTGAATGTACTGAATGTGGGAAGGCTTTCAGCCAGAATGCTCATCTTGTTCAACATCAGAGAGTTCATACTGGAGAAAAACCTTATCAGTGTAAGCAGTGTAATAAAGCCTTCAGCCAGCTTGCACACCTTGCTCAGCATCAGAGGGTTCACTCTGGAGAGAAGCCCTATGAGTGTATTGAGTGTGGGAAGGCTTTTAGTGATTGTTCATCCCTAGCTCATCATCGAAGGATTCACACTGGGAAGAGACCTTATGAATGTATTGACTGTGGGAAGGCATTCAGACAAAATGCCTCTCTTATACGTCATCGACGGTATTATCACACTGGAGAGAAACCCTTTGACTGTGTTGATTGTGGGAAGGCTTTCACTGATCACATAGGACTTATTCAGCATAAGCGAATTCATACAGGGGAGAGACCTTACAAATGTAATGTGTGTGGGAAAGCGTTTAGCCATGGCTCATCCCTGACAGTACATCAAAGAGTTCATACGGGAGAGAAACCTTATGAATGCGATACCTGCGAGAAAGCTTTTAGCCACCGTGGCTCACTCACTCTTCATCAAAGAATTCATACAGGAGAGAAACCCTATGGATGTAAAGAATGTGGGAAAGCTTTTCGGCAAAGTACGCACCTTAGTCATCACCAGCGGATTCATACTGGAGAGAAGCCTTATGAGTGTAAGGAATGCAGCAAAACCTTCAGCCAAAATGCACACCTTATGCAACATCAGAAAATACACACTGGAGAGAAGCCCTATGAGTGTAAGGAATGTGGTAAGGCCTTTAATCAGAGTGCACACCTTGTCCAACACCAGAGAGTTCACAGTGGTGAGAAGCCTTATGAATGTATTGAATGTGGAAAAGCCTTTAGTGATGGCTCATATCTTGTTCAGCATCAGAGACTCCATGCTGGCAAAACACCATATGAATGTCTTGAGTGTGGCAAGGCATTTAGGCAGAAAGCATCTCTGATTTGTCATCAAAGGTGTCATACCAGTGAGAAACCGTATGAATGTAGTGTTTGTGGAAAGGCCTTTAGCCATCATAAATCCCTCACTTTACATCAGAGAATTCATACAGGAGAGAAGCCTTATGAGTGTAAAGAGTGTAGCAAAGCTTTCAGCCAGGTTGCCCATCTTCTGCTACATAGGAGAATTCATACTGGAGAACGGCCCTATGAATGTAAAGAGTGTGGGAAAGCCTTCAGGCAGAGTGTACATCTTGCTCATCATCAGCGAATTCATACTGGTGGGGCATCCTCGATTGTTCTCTCCTCACTCCCATACCACCGAGTCCTATAGATTCAGTCTTTTAAATGCCTCTAGAATCCATCTACTTTTTCCCAGTGTAAGTCCCATCATCATTGTCTATCAAACAGCCATCTTAATTTGATTTCTGCAATTCTGTAACTATTGTCCCTCTTGCTTCTCTGAAGTACAGTTTTAACACTGTAACAGGCTCTTTTAAAAATAAAAATATATAATCATGCTACTCTCTCCATTTAAAACTGTCTCTGAAAAAGTATTATTCTGTTTCAAGAGTTTAGTGCAAAATCCCCAAGATACAGTTAGTGCTAAATAAATGCTTGCCAGTAAAGTAAAGGTTTCCCTATGGACTGACATTAAGCTGCAAGTAAATTGAACCAGTAAGTCAAACGTACAGATTTTACAGCAGACAGCAGACTCTGTAACAAACTCAGAATTGAAAGGTTTGTTATGCACAAGGCACAATGGTAGCTTATTTACCACTCCTGTAAGAAGAGAAGGACATGAGGCCTTCCTGAGGAGCAACTCTCACTTCATCTAGCACCAACAAGAGAGAATAAGCCAATTAAAATGAAATCATGTGTTAAACTGTAGGACTAACTAGGGAATAGTATTTAAAAACAAAATTAAGAAGCTAAAAACCTTGAATAGATAGGGCGATGCCTGTGGCTCAAAGGAGTAGGGCACCAGCCCCATATAGCAGAGGTGGTGGGTTCAAACCCAGCCCTGGCCAAAAACAAACAAAACAAACAAACAAAAAAAACCTTGAATATATTTAATAGTCAAAGTAAACTGAAAAGTATATTCCAATACTTCAACCTTTAAAAAAGCACCACAAACATTTCCTGTGGTATTTAAATTATTCTAGAGTATAAAATAAAATGCACTACAACCTCCTATCTTGTGCCATGACATTGATAAGACATATATAAAAACACAGAAATGTATACACTACGATTAACTTACAAACTCATTTTAAAATCAGTTTTAAAAAAATAGGAAGGCTAGGCATGTATTTGTATAAAAAGACTCAATCTGGCAAAGATATTTCTCCCTAAGTTAAATTTATAAGTGCCTTATTTAAACACTCAAATGTGGCTCGGCGCCTGTGGTTCAAGCGGCTAAGGCGCCAGCCACGTAAACCTGAGCTGGCAGGTTTGAGTCCAGCCCCCGCCCGCCAAACAACAATGAAGGCTGCAACCAAAAAATAGCCAGGGGTTGTGGCAGGTATCTGTAATCCCAGCTACTTGGGAGGCAGAGGCAGGAGAATCGCTTGAGCCCAAGAGTTGTAGGTTGCTGTAAGTTATGATGCCATAGCACGCTACCCAGGGCAACAGCTTGAAGCTTTGTCTCACAAAGAAAAAAAAAAACCTGAAATGTATTTTTTGTTGGGTTTTCTTTTTGGTTTTGAGACAGTCTTACTCTGCCCTGGGTAGAGTGCCATTTCCATTCCCCCTTTCCTGTTCTTCCAACCCTACTCAACTACAGCTCCTTTTTTTTATTTTTTATTTTTTTGAGACAGAGTCTCACTTTGTTGCCCTTGGTAGAGTGCGGTAGCGTCATAGCTCATGGCAACCTCAAACTCTTGGGCTCACTCGATTCTCATGCCTCAGCCTCCCAAGTAGTGGGGACTACAGGTGCCCGCCACAATGTTTTTAGCGACAAGGTCTCATTTGGCTCAGGCTGGTCTGGAACCTGTGAGCTCAGGCAATCCACCCGCCTCGGCCTCCCGGAGTGCAACTTCGGCTCCTTCTTTCCTCGGTTTTCATATCCCCTTTTCCTTCTTCCCCTCTCCATTCTCTTCTCTTCCTTCCTACTCCTCCCTCTCTCTGTCTCCCGTTTCCCTCCCTCTGTTTCCTCCCATCCCTTTGGCCTTCCTCCTGTATCTTCTCCCTTCTCCCTATCCTTTCTCCCTAGCCCTCCCCCCCGTCTCTTCTCTTTCCTTCGCAGTCATCCTTCCTCCCAGCTCTCTTCCTCCTCTTCTCTCTCTCTTCTCTCCTCCTCATCTCCCCTCCTTTTCCCTCTTTCTCCTCCTCATCCTTTCTTCTTCCCACTCCACCACACTCCTCTCCCTCAATCCATCCACTTACCGTCCCCATCCCTGGGTCAGGTCTCAGGAAGTTGGAGGAACGCGCTCGGGTCCGTCCGGCTCCACTCGGCTAGGAGAGCCTGAGGGGAAGTGGCGGCGCGCGGACTTCTGGGAAGCGTAGTCCGGGGCCTGCTGCGCAGGCGCACTGCAGTCGGGAGGGCCTAGCGGGCGCGGTCATTGTCCTGTTGGAGCAACGCTGGGTAAGTCCTGTTGAGGTGTGGGTTGGGATCCCTCTCACCGTCCTTTGGTGCCTGCGCCCGCACCCCGTAGTCCGGGGAGGGGGAGGACTGGGTCATAGGGTGTGCGGACCCGGGGGAAGGTGTGCAGACCCAGGTTCGGGTAGTGCGGCTACAGCTGACATGCAGCTGAGGGAGCGAGTTTAGGGCTCAGAGGAAGGAGGGGTGGAGTGCTGGGGACAGGAGCGGAGTCAGTAAGGAGGCGTGTCCGTGTGTGTGTGTGTCCGCTCCGTGCACCTGGATGTCTAACTGGGGCTCCTGTGGCCTTTCTTCGCCTGTGTTGTGCACTTGTCTGTGGGGCGTGTCCCCCTGGGTCTCTGCCTGCCTTGGGAGGGGATGCCCGGGTGACTCTGTCCTTCCATGTTGTGCGTATGTCTGCCGTGATCCGTGTAGGTGGGTGTATTCCGTGCCTAGTCTTTGTTTCCCTGTCCCTGGGTATGAGTGTGGGACTGTGACTATCCTCGGTGTGTGTCAGGCAGCCTGTGTCTCTGTTTCTTGGTGTCTGTGTGTGACTCTGTTGGGATGGGATGAACCCCTTCCACAGACCACGTTCACCTGGACAAGTGGGCCTAGCAGAGCCTCTGTGCCCTGGCACCACGCCTCTCCTGCTCAACATGGCCACAGAAAGCTCTGGAGAGGTGGTGTCCTGGGGGACAGGAAGTGTGTGTGAGTGACCAGTGTGGAACTTCCAGATATTGCTAACATTTGCCCTGGGAAGCTGCCGCAAAGTTTTAAGCCAGATGCTTTTACTGAGCACCAGTAACATGGGCCAGGAATGTCTTAGGAGCCACAGACTGACACTTAGTGATCCTTTCCTTCCATAGTGGGGCTTCTTGGCCTCCACACTAGTGACACTTTGGGCTGATCATTCTTTGTGCATTGTAGGATATTTAGCAGCATCCTGAGTCTCTACCCACAAAATGTCCATACCACCACCACCCCCCAATTGTGACAACTGCAAGTGTCTCCCTGGGGCACAGAATTGCCTCTGGATGAGAACCACTGTTCTGAAGGCTCCAACTTTCCCTCATATGTCTCTCTCTATGAATAACATCACTTGGCATTTTGCTTGTGGAGGTTGGGGACATTTGGCCTCAGAAAGATCCTTCTTTGTCTTAGTGATTTTTATATTTAAGAGGTGTGGGCTCGGCGCCTGTAGCTCAAGCGGCTAAGGCACCAGCCACATACACCTAAGGTGGCTGGTTCGAATCCAGCCCGGGCCCGCCAAACAACAATGATGGCTGCAACCAAAAAATAGCCAGGCGTTGTGGCGGGCGCCTGTGGTCCCAGCTACTTGGAAGGATGAGGCAGGAGACTCGCTTGAGCCCAGGAGTTAGAGGTTGCTGTGAGCTGTGATGCCACAGCACTCTACCCAGGGGAACAGCTTGAGGGTCTGTCTCAAAAAAAAAAAAGAGGTGTGAGAATCATCTGGAAACTTGTTTGCAATACTGATTCCTAGGCCCCACCAGGGTGGTTTACTCAGGATATGGAGGGGGACCAGGAAACTGTATTCTGAGTAATAATATTTTAATACACATCTCCAGTGATTCTGGTATTTTGAGGATTGGTGAGGTAGCTAAAAGGCTTTTGTGTAGGAGAGGGCTAGGATTTTCCTTGGTGATCCCGAAGCGCTGGAGACTCATGGAGACACATTTCAGTCTATAGCAGAAGGAAAACTTGCTCCTACTCAAAAGTGTTTGTGGCCTAGATAGTGCACTCCCTGCCATGGAAGGTATGCAATCTAGGAAGGTCCCCATGGAGCCAAAACTGAGCTGGCATGTCTCAAACGCCAAAACTTTGCTTTAATCTTTGCCACCTGTCCTATTTTGTATTTTGCCTTTTCTTTAACTTGGCTTACCAAGTTTTTAAAAATTTAAATCAACTTAGTTTAAAAGGGAGCTCTGTGTGACTACTGTAGATAAAAGCTGAGCATTGTTGTACAAAGAGAAACATTAAAACAAATGAAAGTAAAGCCAAGGAGTTCTAATGAAATAAGAACTACTGGTTGCTTTAAGTTGGCCTAAGCTTTTTTCTTTTGTTTGGGGAGTAGGGGTGCTACATGCTAGTGGCTGCGGAGACATTCTGAGCTGGCAGATCTGGAAGAGAATCAAAACCAGGTGATTCCTCCTCTGAGAGTCCTGGGTGGGGGGTGTCCTGCTCTTCAGGACAAGCTAGGCTGGCATCAGTGGTAATGACAGCAGCAATGCTCCTGCTGTGCACCAGGCCAACTCCAGGGCCTTTAGTTTATCTGTTAGCCGAACCTCACAATAACCCCATGAGGTCTGTGGTTAGTGTGAGGGGTTGGTAAAAAGTCTGGGGCACCTGGGAAGCCTTGACCCAGCACTCAGACCCAAGGAGAGCACCTAGTGGGGCTGCTGGGAGAGGCAGGAGGTCCCATGGCCTCCAGCAGCCTGGGGGAGTGTGAGCTGTGGGTTTATGCATCTGGGAGGCAGTCTCATGGCAGTCTATACTCTGGTAGTCTAGTGGTAACCTTCTACCCCACTTTGTCATCTTGGGCAAGTGGTTTCCTCATCTGTGAATTGGGGTAGGTAGAAGTAGTGCCCTCTTTCTAGGGTGGTTGGAGAATCAGGTGAGATATGTTTATCAAGTGCCTTATATACAGTAAGCCCCATAAATGCTCACTGTTGATCTATGTGTGTATGACTGTCTTTGTCTCTCTCTTTTTCTCTCTCTTTCTCTCTTCCCCTGTCTCTCAGTGTATGTCTGTCTGTTCCATCTGCATTTGTGAGGTGGACCTTGGCTGGGTCTCTCTTACCTCCTTCTCTCCCCACCAACAGCCTTACTGGCCTTCCAGACCCATCCTCCCAGAGGGATGGCTGCTCAGCTGATGACTGAGGAGGTGCTGGTGAGTTGTGTCACTCTCTCTCTCCTTTCTGAAGGCTTGTACCCAGGGGGCCAGGCTCCTGCTTTTGGGTGAGCCTCTACACTAAGGTGACCAGATTTTAACATTGGTAAAGCAGGATACCATTGGGGGGTGGGGTTCTTAATTAAAAATTTGGTCTATATGAAGCAACAAAAATTTTCATAAAATGCAAAAATAGTATTGTAATATATATATTTTTAATTTCAACATAAGTACAATTTACAAACATAATACATTAAAAACAATTATGTATAGGATGGAGCCTGTGGCTCAAAGGAGTAGGGCACAGGTCCACCTGGGGGACCTTGCCGCAGGAGGGGAATAGGGAGTTTACAATAGCCTTTTCATTTCCAAATGAAGTTACATTAACCTCTTCATTCCAAATGGAGTTACATTAACCTTTTCAGCAGCTGAAAACTGTATATTCCCTTCCTGTTGTCCCACCGCCATTCCCTAGCTTGTTGTGCATTCTTTCCAAAAATCGGGACTTTTTAAAAACGCTGTGGGACATGGGACAAATTGTTAAAAATCGGGACTGTCCCGCCAAAAGTGGGACGTCTGGTCACCTTACTCTACACCCAATTCCCTTCCAGCCCTGGCTCTGAGTCCTGGGGGCTGTGTCCACCCTGAGGAGGAAGTCAGTGCCCATGCTCCTGTTGGCCCTCTGTCTCAGCCCCTTGTCTGTCCCTGACGCTGGCTGAGATAAGCTCTGGGGGACAGAGGAGCTCTAAAATGGCCAGGCCTGCCCTCAGGGCTCCTAGGAGACACAGGTGGGCACCCATAAAGTGATGATTTAAACTTGACCCTGAGTGAAAAGGACTCAGCAGGATGTATTGGATGTGTGGCCTATAGAGTGTGTCACTGCACATTCATTTGCAGTGACAGTATGCAAACATGTGGGAACACACCCCTATTTAAGACAGTGGTTACCTCCAGAGAGGAGGAAGAGGATACTTTTGGGTAGGGGCATGTGACATCTTTAGTTCTAGCCATGATGTTTTTTATCTTTATCTGGATGGTGAATTCATGGCCATGTGTTGTATTTTTCTCTAAATTTCCTTTTATGCCAGAAATATTTCATAATAAAATGTTATGTATTATATATGCTCATTGTAGAAAATTGGCAAAATCTAGCAAACTGTAGGTGAGATAATATAATTCACTGATAGGCTCTCTACCCATAAATCACAAATGTAGATATTTGTGTATTCATTTATTATCTTCTTTCTCTGATGATCATTTTTAAAAGTTGACCAAATATTGACTTTAATTTAATTTTGAGGGTTTTCTCCATCTAACTTTATGCAATGGGGATTTCCAATTGCCATTGAAAGCTTTACAAACATCACTTGTTTTGGCTGCATAACCAATATACCTGCATTGGTGAATTTAACCTTTTGGCCCTTTTTTAAAGAAAATTTACATTTTGGTGTCATAAATCTACAGTCTCCAACCTCAGGGCTGCAGACCAGTAGCAGTTGGTGGTCTATTAGGAACCACGCTGCACAGTAAGAGGTAAGTGGTGGGTGAGTGAGCAAAGCAGCTTTATCTGTATGTATAGCCACTCCCCATCACTGGTATCACTCTACCTCCTGTTAGATCAGTGGTGACATTAGATTGACATAGGAGCAAGGACCCTACTATAAACAGTTGTATACTACTTATACAAATCTAATGCCTGATGGTCTGAAGTGGAGCTGAGGTGGTAATGCTGGTGCTGGGGAGCAGCTGCAAATATAGATTATCATTAGCAGCAAGGTTTGACTGCACAGAGACCATAATAAATCAATTGCTTGTAGACGCATAACAAAGCTACCCTTCTACCCCATGGGTAGATAAATTGTCTTCCATGAAACTGGTCCCTGGTACCAAAAATGTTTGGGAACCACTGCTGTAAGTACTATGTCCAAAAAGTAAAAGAAAATTCCCAATTCCTAGAAGGCAATGATCATTATAAAATCTTAGAAAATCCAGAAAAATGTAGCTAAGAGAATCAAATTAACCCATGATCTTACTCCAGAAGATAACCACTCTGAATCTGTGTCTTTTCCTCCTTGGATATTCGTATTGTTTTGTGAAAATAACCAGCATCATGGCTGAGCAATTTTCATATTTTGCTTTTTCATAAAAGATTTCTTCCTGAGCATTTCTCAGCACCATTAAAAACTCCTCTGTAGGGTGGCTCAGCGAGTAGGGTGCCAGCCCCATATCCCAGGCGTGGCGGGTTTGAACCCGGCCCGGACCAAACTGCAACAAAAAAATACCTGGGTGTTGTGGCGGGTGCCTGTAGTTCCAGCTATTCTGGAGGCTGAGGCAAGAGAATCGCCTAAGCCCAAGAGCTGGAGTTTGCTGTGAGCTGTGACGCCATGGCCCTCTACCGTGGGTGACGACGTATAAGACTCTGTCTCTAAAAAAAGACAAAAAACAAACTCCTCCATAACTTCCGTTTTAATAACTGCATAAAAGTTTTATCTAGTAGCCATACCCTCGCTTACTTAGTGGTTTCTTTCTTTGTTTATGGGACATGTTTTGGTATTCATGGTTATAAAGAGTATCACAGGAGAGCAGGTTGGGCATATATGTTTCCCTGTGTTGTACGTGATTTCTTTAGGAGTGATTTCTTGAAGAGAAATATTAGTTTGGATATTTTTGAGGACTTTCATAAGTCTTTTTGTGTTAATTTCAGATTTATATAAGAGTATATACAATTAGGTACATAGTTTGTAAGATTACATAGTTTTATGTAAGGTAAAGTCCAAGGAGTAGTTGTGTCCTTCACCCAGGAAATGTGCCATGTACCCCTACATCATTAGGTAAGAACTTACTGAGACTTTCATAAGTCTTCGTGTTACTTTCCAAATCAGTTGTGGTAATATATATTCCTACCAGCGTGTTGGGAAGGGTCTCTGCTGGTTTATACTGGCTGTGGTCAATTATTAATTTGGTACATTAGATATAAATGAGAAATGTATAAACCTTGGGTGTGATATGTGACAAATGATGTCATGAGATCTCTTTCTGAGTAACATTATTCATATAATTGGTGAATTGCAATTTTTAGAGAATGATTATTAGCCATTTCTACCAGCAGGTAAATTATCTATCATGCACTTTCTCAGTCTATTGGAATCTTAGTATTAGAGATTTTACAGAACTAAGTGTGTGTGTGTAAACATAGCAAATATTATTCCTGGGTTTGGTTTTTGTTTCCTTCTTATTTAGTTTAGTTAATTTTTCAGTACAATAGCATTTCATATTTTTAATTTTTTTCCTGCATCCTTTCTTTCCACAGGTAAGCATTTCATATTTTTAAAATCAAATCTGTTGGTCTCTTTAGTGGAAGTAGCCCCTTTCATCTTTAAACTATGAAAGAGTTTCCTTGGTCCACGGGTCAAATAGCACCTCTGTCTTCTTCCTTGTTACCATTTATCATTTGAATACTAACAGGTAACTTTTGAATCTCCCTGGAATTTATTTTGCTATATAAATGTTTCGGTTGAGTTATTTTGGAGTTTTGGTTTATCACATCTTTATTTCTTTGACACCTTTTAAGATACACTTCATGTCCACAAACAATGGACAATTCACTATACAATTCACTAACTTTTGATATATTTGCAGAGTTGTATAACCATCACTATTGTTGATTCCAGAACATTTTCATCATTGCAGAAGGAGTCATATACCCTCAAGCATCTACTCCCTTCCCCCCCCATCATTCCCCAGTTCCTGGCAACCACTAATCTGTCTCTATGGGTTTGCCTATTCTGGACACTTTTTATTAGTGGAGTCATGTTCCATGTGATCCTTATGGACTGTCTTCTATACTCAGCATATATGATGTTTATATCCATGGGATACTATGTATTGAACTTCATTCCTTTTCATGACAGAATAATATTCTCTGTATGGCTGCTCCACATTGCATTTACCCATTTATTAGTTGGTGGATGTTTGGGTTGTTTCCACTTTTTGGCTATTATGAATAATGATAGTGTGAATATTCGTGTGTATGTCTTACTCTGATTTAATGATCATCTTGATAGTAACAATAGCAGTATATTGGACCCAGTTCAGTGTTGTTACAAACCTCTGTATTAAATACTGACATGTAGGCTTGGTGCCTGTGGCTCAAGCGGCTAAGGTGCGAGCCACGTACACCTGAGCTGGTGGGTTCGAATCCAGCCTGGGCCTGCCAAACACATTGATGGCTGCAAACAAAAAAACAGTAACCGAAACCGGTTGCTGCGGCAGGCGCCTATAGTCCCAGCTACTTGGAAGGCGGAGACAGGAGAATTGCTTGAGCCCAGGAGTTGGGCTGTGATGCCACGGCATTCTACTGAGGGCGACAGCTTGAGGCTCTGTCTCAAAAAATAATTAAAAGAAAACCTGACAGGTAATTATTATAGTAATAATTGTAATAACTGAGCTCTATCAGGCATTTGTATGCACTAGCTGTTTTAATCTTTATCGCAAACCTAGTAAGTAGCAACTCTCATTATGTCCATTTAACAGATGAGGAAACTGAGGCTCCAATAAGGGTAGCTAGGAACCAGGAAACAGTTCATGCTCATGCCCATGTCCGTGGCTAGATATTCTGGTGTTTAAAGAGAAACTAGAAGTTCATTTTTCTTGATTAACTATGCAGATTTTTTTCCATGTGGTTAATGATTAAAAACAATTTTGAAAGCCTCAGGGGATGAAATAGAAAATGCATGCAAGTGGGTTCAGGCCCAGGGATGTCTCCTATGAGGGTCACACTCAGAGCACCGTTCTTTCCTTGCATCCTGGGAGTTGTCCCATTGAGCCTGTCCAGAGCCACACAGATGATGTGAGCACCCAGCGCATGGGAAGGCTAGGCACAGGCATTCATCACACTATGGATGAGGTCAACGATCAAGTGTTTTCTCTGGAAATAGCTTCAGGATCACCTGTGATCTGGGACACTGCAGTATTATTCAACTGTCTTGTTTTTAGGTGGAAGACACACCACCCTCCCAGGAGCTAGTTTGGACAAAACCACTCCTGGGCTGTAATTTCCATTGGGTCAGTATTACATGTGAGTTAGGGCACCAGAGGTGGGGGCAGAGAGCTGGACTGGGTTTAAGACACTGCCGCTCCTTCTGTGTGACTTCACGTGCCTCAATTTCCCCCCATGAGGGGGAGGAGCTTGTAAGAGCACCTGGCTGGTAGGGTTGAGTATTGAGATGATACATATAAAGGATTTGGAGTGATGCCTGGCATGTAGCACATACTTAGTGATCATTAGTCATTTATTTTTGTCATTGTTTATAAGTCTGAGTTGAGGGGAGAAACCCTGTGCCAGAACTGTGTCTGCCGTGTCCACAGCTGCATTCCTAGTGCCTGGTACATAGTAGACTCTCCATTAATGGTTGTGTAAATATTGGTAGAGTGAATGAGTGAGGGGTGAAGTGTCACTCTTGATCTGAGCTCTCTCCCCTACCTAGGATCTTCCTCAGACCCCACAGCCCGTGCTCTCTGTCACCTCTCCAAAGTCTTCCTGAATGCCCCTAAAGCTGGCATTACTCAGGTGCCTCTAGAGCTTTGTTCATGCCTTCATGATCGTGTTTCCCAAATTTCACACGTGTTTCCATCTGCCTCTCCCATGAGGAACTAGTTCTTGAACCTTTGTGTCTGTATCCTGGAACCTGACTTGATGTATGGTGCTTAGTAGGACTTAGGTTAGCTATCCTGGATGCTGTATATTGTTCTGCCTAGCTGTGCTTCTACTGCGTGCATCAAGCCACCGGGTCAGGGCCATTCTGCCTTTGCTTTTTTTTCCATCTCAGTCTCAAAGCTGTGACTTTGTGTTCTAGACCATTTTATATTTGATTTATTTTTCTGTCGTAGAACCCCCCCCCCCACCAAGTATAACTAGACACTGGGAAAATGGAGTGGTCCCTTCAGAACCCTGCACCTGGTTGAAATAACTGCAGGGCATCCTGTCTGGTTCACCTAAATTCTCTTAGCCTTTCTGGCCATTTCTCCAGGCCTCTGTAAAGAGGGCCCAGCGATGAGCAGATGTGGGTTTCCTCTTACAGGAGACAGTGACGTTCAGGGACGTGACTGTGGACTTCACCCAGGAGGAGTGGCAGCAGCTGCAGCCTGCCCAGAAGGATCTGTACAGGGATGTGATGCTGGAGAACTACAGGACCCTGGTCTCACTGGGTAAGGGGCAGCTTCCCTGAGTCACTCTTTAGCCTACAACTTGAAGACCACAAGGAAATAAGAAAAGAATTGACGGGTTTGACTACTTAGAAAGTTCCTAAAATTGCTCTACTTCAAGCTAAAAATAAAGTTGATAGATGATAACATGAAGAATAACACTTCTCACATGTATAACAAAGGGTCATAATTATGTAACAAGCTACTAGGAATAAACAAGAAAAAGACTAAATGAGTCATAGAAAAATGGGCCAAATTTATGAGTTGTAAATTCATAAATGTAGAAATATACAAGGTTATGAAAGATTTTTTTAGCCTTGCTAAAGAAAACTACAAATTGAGCTATCAGTTTTTGTCTATGAGGGGAAGATAAAATGGGAATGATAGCCAATATTATGAGGGTATAGAGAAAAGACTCTCCCATTTTAGGAGTATAAAGTTGGGGCAACTCTTTTAGAGGACAGTTTAGCATTATCCAACAAATTTTGAATCATTCCAATTTTAGGGATTCATCCTTTAGAAATTCTTCCATAAGTGTTAAATTCTTCCAAAGTTTTACATTGAAAGAAAAATAAAGGAAAACTACTTATAAGCCCAGCCATACAAGACTTTAAACATATTAGGATCCATCAGTATGATAGAAACCATGCAGCTTTTCAAAGCTGAGGACTCTTTGTAGGCACTGCCATGGACAGATGTTCCATGAGTAAGGTGGCAACGCTCACTTTCAGAACTAGAGTATGGTCTCCTTTCTTTAATAGCTTTTTTGGAGGCATAATTGACTTACAATCCCTACATGCATTTAAAGTGAACAATTTGATGCATTTTGATATATGTGCCTATCCAGGAAACTGTTGCCATGATGATAATGAATATGCCCATCATATCTAAGTTCTCAGACCCCTCCTTCCCCTCGGTCTCTCCGCCCCCTCCCAGCCCCAGGCAATCACTGACTGGTGTGCTTTATGTCATTGTGGGTGAGTTTGCATGTTCCTTTTTTTTTTTTGAGATAGTCTCACTATGTCACCCACGGTAGAGTGTCATGGCATCACAACTCACAGCAACCTCAAACTCTTGGGCTTAAGCACTTCTCTTGCTTCAGCCTCCCAAGTAGCTGGGACTACAGGCACCTGCCACAATGCCCAGCTATTTTTTGGTTGCAGTTGCCATTGTTGTTTAGCAAGCCCAAGCCAGGCTTGAACCCACCAGCTTCAGTATATGTGGCTGGTGCCCTACTCACTGAGCTATGGGCACCAAGCCAGTTTGCATGTTCTTGACTTTTTTTTTTTGAGACAGAGTCTCTGTGCTATGACGTCATAGCTCACAGCAACCTCAAACTCTTGTGCTCAGGCCATCTTCTTGCCTTAGTCTCTCCTGTGTAGCTGGGATTATAGGTGTCCATGTCCACTACAATGCCCGGTTATTTTTTCTATATTTTAGTAGAGGCAAGGTCTTACTCTTGCTCAGGCTGGTCTCAAACTCCTGAGCTCAAGTTATCCACCCAGTTTGGTCTCCCAGAGTGCTAAGATTACAGGTGTGAGCCACCGCACCCGGGCATCATAGCTCACAGCAACCTCAAACTCTTGGGCTTAAGTGATTCTCTTTCCTTAGCCTCCCACGTAGCTGGGACTACAGGTGCTCACCACAATGCCCGGCTATTTTTTGTTGTTGTTGTAGTTGTCATTGTTGTTTGGCAGGCCTGGGCTGGATCTGAACCTGCCACCTCTGATGTATATGACTGGCGCCCTAGCCACTGAGCTGTAGGTGCTGAGCCTCACCTGTGTTCTTGAATTTTGTATATGTAGAATCATACATGTATGCACTCTTGTTCGTGGTCCAACTGTTTTAGTTTGACATGGCATTGTTGAGATTCACTCATGTTGTTGCACGTGTCATAGCTCAGTTCCTCTTATTGCTGTGTATCATTCCAGTTTGCCTACCCATTCTCTCTTCAATGAACATCTGGGTTGTTCCCAGTTTGGGGCTATTACAAATAAAGCTGCTATAATCATTTGTGCACATGTTAGTGGAGACATATACTCCCCCTCTCCTGAGTAACACCTGGGAGTGGAAAGTCTAGATCATATGATGTATTTTTAACTTTTCTTAAAAGCTGCTGAACTGTTTGCCAGAGTGGCCATACCAGTTCACATTTCCACCTCAGGGCATGAGAGTTCCAGCTTCTCCCTATTTTTTTTTTTTTTAGAGATAGAGTCTCATTTTGTCGCCCTTGGTAGAGTGCTGCCATGGCATCATAGCTCACAGCAACCTCCAGCTCTTGGGCTTAGGTAATTCTCTTGCCTCAGCCTCCCGAGTAGCTGAGACTACAGGCACCCGCCACAATGCTGGGCTATTTTTTTGTTGTAGTTTGGCCAGGGTCAGGCTCAAACCCTCCACCCTCAGTATATGGGGCCGGCACCCTACTCACTGAGCCACAGGTGTGGCCCGCTTCTCCCTATTCTTAATTCTAGCCTTCTTCACAGGCATGAAGTCTCATCACACTGTGGTTTTTGTCTGATCTTGTTGGTCTTCCATGTGGGTATCTATATATTGTTTTTTTGTTTTTTTTTTTGAGATGGAGCCTCAAGCTATCCCCCTGGGTAGAGTGCCATGGCATCATGCTCACAGCAACCTCCAACTCCTGGGCTC